AGGGGGTGGGGTGGTGACAGGGAGAAAAATAAGTAAAAAAGAGTTATCTTTGAGAGTAGGGGGTGGGGGTGGTGACAGGGGGAAAAACTAGTAAAAAAGTGTTATCTTTGAGAGTAGGGGGTGGGGGTGGTGACAGGGGGAAAAATAAGTAAAAAAGTGTTATCTTTGAGAGTAGGGGGTGGGGTGGTGACAGGGGGAAAAACTAGTAAAAAAGTGTTATCTTTGAGAGTAGGGGGTGGGGTGGTGACAGGGGGAAAAACAAGTAAAAAAGTGTTATCTTTGAGAGTAGGGCGTGGGGGTGGTGACAGGGGGAAAAACTAGTAAAAAAGTGTTATCTTTGAGAGTAGGGGGTGGGGTGGTGACAGGGGGAAAAAATAGTAAAAAAGTGTTATCTTTGAGAGTAGGGGGTGGGGGTGGTGACAGGGGGAAAAACTAGTAAAAAAGTGTTATCTTTGAGAGTAGGGGGTGGGGGTGGTGACAGGGGGAAAAACTAGTAAAAAAAGTGTTATCTTTGAGAGTAGGGGGTGGGGTGGTGACAGGGGGAAAATAAGTAAAAAAGAGTTATCTTTGAAAGTAGGGGGTGGGGGTGGTGACAGGGGGAAAATAAGTAAAAAAGTGTTATCTTTGAGAGTAGGGGGTGGGGGTGGTGACAGGGGGAAAAACTAGTAAAAAAGTGTTATCTTTGAGAGTAGGGGGTGGGGGTGGTGACAGGGGGAAAACAAGTAAAAAAAAGTTATCTTTGAGAGTAGGGGGTGGGGGTGGTGACAGGGGGAAAAATAAGTAAAAAAGTGTTATCTTTGAGAGTAGTGGGTGGGGGGTGGTGACAGGGAGAAAATAAGTAAAAAAGTGTTATCTTTGAGAGTAGGGGGTGGGGGTGGTGACAGGGGGAAAACTAGTAAAAAAGTGTTATCTTTGAGAGTAGGGGGTGGGGGTGGTGACAGGGGGAAAAACAAGTAAAAAAGTGTTATCTTTGAGAGTAGTGGGTGGGGTGGTGACAGGGGGAAAAACTAGTAAAAAAGTGTTATCTTTGAGAGTAGGGGGTGGGGGTGGTGACAGGGGGAAAAACTAGTAAAAAAGTGTTATGTATGAGAGGAGGGGGGTGGGGGTGGTGACAGGGGGAAAATTAGTCAAAAAGTGTTATCTTTGAGAGTAGGGGGTGGGGGTGGTGACAGGGGGAAAAAAAGTAAAAAAGTGTTATCTTTGAGAGTAGTGGGGGGGGTGGTGACAGGGGGAAAAACTAGTAAAAAAGTGTTATCTTTGAGAGTAGGGGGTGGGGGTGGTGACAGGGGGAAAAACTAGTAAAAAAGTGTTATCTTTGAGAGTAGGGGGTGGGGGTGGTGACAGGGGGAAAAACTAGTAAAAAAGTGTTATCTTTGAGAGTAGGGGGTGGGGGTGGTGACAGGGGGAAAACTAGTATAAAAGTGTTATCTTTGAGAGTAGGGGGTGGGGGTGGTGACAGGGGGAAAAACTAGTAAAAAAGTGTTATCTTTGAGAGTAGTGCGGTGGGGTGGTGACAGGGGGAAAAATAAGTAAAAAAGTGTTATCTTTGAAAGTAGGGGGTGGGGGTGGTGACAGGGGGAAAATAAGTAAAAAAGTGTTATCTTTGAGAGTAGGGGGTGGGGTGGTGTTAGGGGGAAAAACAAGTAAAAAAGAGTTATCTTTGAGAGTAGGGGGTGGGGTGGTGTTAGGGGGAAAAACTAGTAAAAAAGTGTTATCTTTGAGAGTAGGGGGTGGGGTGGTGACAGAGGGGAAAACTAAGTAAAAAAGTGTTATCTTTGAGAGTAGGGGGTGGGGTGGTGACAGGGGGAAAAATAAGTAAAAAAGAGTTATCTTTGAGAGTAGGGGGTGGGGTGGTGTTAGGGGGAAAAACTAGTAAAAAAGTGTTATCTTTTAGAGTACTGGGTTGGGCTAGTGACAAGGGGAAAAACTAGTAAAAAAGTGTTATGTTTGAGAGTAGGGGGTGGGGGTGGTGACAGGGGGAAAAACAAGTAAAAAAGTGTTATCTTTGAGAGTAGGGGGTGGGGGTGGTGACAGGGGAAAAACAGGTAAAAAAGTGTTATCTTTGAGAGTAGTTGGTGGGGTGGTGACAGGGGAAAAACTAGTAAAAAAAGTGTTATCTTTGAGAGTAGGGGGTGGGGGTGGTGACAGGGGGAAAAACTAGTAAAAAAGTGTTATCTTTGAGAGTAGGGGGTGGGGGTGGTGACAGGGGGAAAAATAGTAAAAAAGTGTTATCTTTGAGAGTAGGGCGTGGAGGTGGTGACAGGGGGAAAAATAAGTAAAAAAGTGTTATCTTTGAGAGTAGGGCGTGGGGGTGGTGACAGGAGGAAAAACTAGTAAAAAAGTGTTATCTTTGAGAGTAGGGGGTGGGGTGGTGACAGGGGGAAAAACTAGTAAAAAAGTGTTATCTTTGAGAGTAGGGGGTGGTGACAGGGGGAGAGTAGGGGGTGGTGACAGGGGGAAAAACTAGTAAAAAAGTGTTATCTTTGAGAGTAGGGGGTGGGGGTGGTGACAGGGGGAAAATTAGTAAAAAAGTGTTATCTTTGAAAGTAGGGGGTGGGGGTGGTGACAGGGGGAAAAACTAGTAAAAAAAGTGTAATCATTGAGAGTAGGGGGTGGGGGTGGTGACAGGGGGAAAAACTAGAAAAAAAGTGTTATCTTTGAGAGTTGGGGGTGGTGACAGGGGAAAAACTAGTAAAAAAAGTGTTATCTTTGAGAGGAGGGGGTAGGGGTGGTGACAGGGGGAAAAACTAGTAAAAAAGTGTTATCTTTGAGAGTAGGGGGTGGGGGTGGTGACAGGGGGAAAAAACTAGTAAAAAAGTGTTATCTTTGAGAGTAGGGGTTGGGGGTGGTGACAGGGGGAAAACTAGTATAAAAGTGTTATGTTTGAGAGTAGGGGGTGGGGGTGGTGACAGGGGGAAAAACTAGTAAAAAAGTGTTATGTTTGAGAGGAGGGGGTGGGGGTGGTGACAGGGGGAAAATTAGTAAAAAAGTGTTATCTTTGAGAGTAGGGGGTGGGGGTGGTGACAGGGGGAAAACTAGTAAAAAAGTGTTATCTTTGAGAGTAGGGGGTAGGGGTGGTGACAGGGGGAAAAACTAGTAAAAAGTGTTATCTTTGAGAGTAGGGGGTGGGGGTGGTGACAGGGGGAAAAACTAGTAAAAAAGTGTTATCTTTGAGAGTAGGGGGTGGGGGTGGTGACAGGGGGAAAAACTAAGTAAAAAAGTGTTATCTTTGAGAGTAGGGGGTGGGGGTGGTGACAGGGGGAAAAACTAGAAAAAAAAGTGTTATATTTGAGAGTAGGGGGTGGGGGTGGTGACAGGGGGAAAAACTAGTAAAAAAGTGTTATCTTTGAGAGTAGGGGGTGGGGGTGGTGACAGGGGGAAAAACTAAGTAAAAAAGTGTTATCTTTGAGAGTAGGGGGTGGGGGTGGTGACAGGGGGAAAAACTAGTAAAAAAGTGTTATCTTTGAGAGTAGGGGGTAGGGGTGGTGACAGGGGGAAAAATAAGTAAAAAAGTGTTATCTTTGAGAGTAGGGCGTGGGTGTGGTGACAGGGGGAAACTAGTAAAAAAATAAGAGTTAAAACCTTAACATTTCTTCTCTCAGAATAACGAAAATGTGTCCCTATTTGGTGTAGTGTATCCTTGGAAAAGAAGGAACTCAATTTGGTATGAAAGATGGGTCTAATGCCGTGGGATATTAACGGTGGTGCCACGAGGAAAAATAAAGGCAAATGTTTTGAAATCCTTCTTTGTTTTGTAGTGATGAACTGTTAGATCTGATTAATCACTGGCTAAATAAAATTCTGTCATGTATATACCAAAGGTAAGACCCCTCCTCAGGGTAGATTGGCTGACCCAATAGGAGTATAGAGGTAAATATTTAAAATCGTACTCGAGATGATGGAATTTTGACGTATCATAAGAGTAGGGTTGGGAGGAGGGTGGTGGTAGGGGTTCATGTGGGAGGCCGAGGGGTGCACAATTGGGAAATTAAGGTAGGTCATTCAAAGAATTCTTCTATAGTATGAACACTTTTGGTGACTATTTTCGGTTAGACAGGATTCAATTGTATATAAACGAAGAGTTTGACCTCCCCGTGACAAAGAAGCGCGGTTCCATTAAGGTAATTAAAATAAATCTAACACCTTCGGTTATTTGTGATAAAAGAAGTTTTGAGTTTTAAATAGAAGGGAGCGGTGCAAACTCCAATGGCAAATTCATAAACTCTGTTTTATTACTTCAATACAATCTGGAAATCGATTTCAAATTGAGTTAGTATAAGCACAACAATATTTGAAAAATAACTAGGTTTCATTTTTTTCAGTAAACGTAGTTTCACTATATTATAGTTTGTTTTTCAATTTGTTGTATATCTCAATCAAAATTTATATGTTCTTGACCTCCTGTTACACTACTCGTCTTTCTGAAGATAATAGCATTTGTCTTTTAAATTCAGATTTTATCGCATATTTAATCATCACTTCATGTGTGGTTTTCCCATGAAACTAAAAATACATAACCAGTAATCTATTTATAGATCCATTTACTCTTCCACGAAAACGAAACCCCGATCTTACCTAATTCTTGGTTACTATTCCTAAATCTAGTTTATAAGTCTTACTTTTGTATCCAAAGTATCTGGTTCTGTTTGTAAATGTTTTGGATCCTGAGTAAAGCAGATGTTAAAATAGTTGAACAACTATATAAACAAGGATTATTTTATCACGGAAGTAGATAAACAATTGAAACATGGTTTTATTTCTAGGACAGAAATGATCAAACGCTAATTGTATCTAAAATGAGATTCTTCTACTATAAATGATAACACTGTCGTGACTTTCCTTCGGTGGTAACCACCTCACAAATGTGGACGACAATTAGCCAATTAGACAAGCGTCAGAATTGACATTCGTGGCTAATCTAGGTCATCAACATTGTGTTATTTTGTAAAATATCTACAACATATCACTAAATGTAAATCGTAATAAAAGATGGAACTTACCTTAAACACGTGAATAGATCGTTTGTTATTTTTCAAGTGCTGTGAGATATAAGAAAATGTTTTGTGTGGAATTTGGAAAAACTGGAAAACCTAGAATTGGATAACGGAAGTCTGAATGGGGCCAGCGGAGGGGAAACTTGATGACTGAAAATTATACTTTATAAAATGGTTTTATCAATATTTTTATTTACTATCAAGCGAGATTATAGGTTCTTTTTATACTGCGGTTTCTTACCCAATGTGTCACTAACATCGATATGTTTTTGAGGACGAGTTGTTTAAACGAGAACGACAATCTTATATAAAACAATGTTTGTCTACCTGTTGAGGAAGTGACATGTATTTATAGTACGACAGAGGAAGAGTAACACTGTGTCTTTAATCCGTTCGGCAGCACACCCATGTTCCCTGGATTCTTTAACTTTTGTAAAATTTGTTAAGTATAAGGTCATAGGAGTCATCATATCTATCGCCGCGTCTGTCGAAGAAAAGAGAGGGACGTATGAATCACCATGGGACATCTCTGCAATATTTTTGTTCCTTTGGTTTTGCTAAAACCTGGAAAAACATTAATTTCATAAAATAATCTTTACATTTGCTGTCTGTAATGAAGTATTTTCTTAACAATGACGTCACAGATACCAGATTTTAGATCCTTTTGAATTATGAAGCTAATGATATTAAGGAAGTTAAATGTTTACAAGTGATGTTTTCCAATTCTCCATCTTTGAGAAAATCGGTAGATGTTACAGGATACAGAGATAATAAGACACAACAGAGTAACGGGCTACTGGACGATGTAATTAAAAGGGTCCGGAATATTTGTTAGTGTAGATGTGACGTAGTTGATTACATCCACGTTTACTTATGGAAAATATTCTACATTTGTAGGATTCCGACATGTGATATATTGGGGTAGATAATTATTTTTCAGTCAAACTTGTCATTTCGGTAACAGAACGACGGCACATCATCGCAGTGTTGTCAGTTGTTAGTTGTATATGCAGAGGCGTAGCATTAATGTATGCTTGTATGCTTAAACATACACTCGAATTCCATTGAGATATATTTGCCCTACTTTCTTAACCTTACTGCGCCCCTAGACCCCCTTAACCGGGGCTTCGCCCTTGGATCCTCTCTTGAAAGCATACACTCTTAAAAATGTTTTGCTACGCCACTGATATGGTATACTTAACCTAGCATCCTATATGTACAGCATTGTGTTCAGTGTTTCATATCGGTAATGACGACATAACAGATGAGATATAAGACAAAATATTGAAAAATGATTTTAAAAGACGATTATGATATAAAATCCTGTTAAACATTGATAATTTATGAAACAAATAGCTTACTGTTGTAGAAATATGACAATATTTAGTCTCAGTATGTTGATAGTAAAATCTATCTTCCACTTTTTCCTTGATAAAATTTTAATCGCTGCCGTTTTTTTCTTTCAAATCACATAGTTCGGCAAAACTGCTATGTCGGACACGGTTCGGCATTTTCAAACTTCCCGATGACATTTATGAGGATATACATGATGATTGCCCCCATTGTTGACCCCGCCTGTGACCCTATCCCATACATTCTCAGAGAATCCTTTCCTTCGTTCCGGAAGAGCGTTGCTATGCTGACCTTAGCAAAGGTGAGAAGTGCCATGGTAAGAATCCAGGCTAAAACCTGAAATTACATAAAGAGGTGGCATTGTAATATTACAACAATTACAAGACGATATAATGATAATAATCAATAACAATAAACTCAAACAGTAACAACTTCATATTAATTACTATTATATCATATCGAAAAACCTCTTCCTTATCCTGGCCACCAGGTTGGTTGGGTGATCGTCCACTGACTTATGCAATCGTTAAGTGTTCAATTTCATAATTCTTGTGTACAGTATAGTAGGCTTATTTACAATCATAATTAAGATTTCTTATTTTGTCCGCACAGATAAGTTCACTACAGAAGATATATCTATAAAATATAACATTTCCAACATACCACTAGAATAGGACCGACGCCTGTGTCCTGAAAGACGAGATATGGGCTTAATGCGGCAGTGTACAAAATATACGCAGCTGTAGCGAATCCAGCGGCTGACACACTGTAAATGACTCTTTGTGTGACAACCGGAAATACAAATGCCACAAAACAGGCCAACGGATTGGCTATATTTGATAATGTCACTGACCAATGGTACACGTCGGTACCATATGGCAGGCATGAGTAGGTTTGTATCGGAGGAAGGCTTCCATTGGCTACAGCATTTATCAGTAAGTTTAGGATAAGAAATCCAGCCGATGAAATAGGACTCATCGGCCTTATCTCGTCTTCCGGTTTACCCTTGTCCAATAGATTGTCTTTGGTATCAGTTTCTGAGTCATTTTGATTGCGGCATGTCGTTGTATATTCCCGTTTACAACATGGAAGTGTATTGAGCAGTATGAATGAGATTAAGCATAAGAAAATGATTGAGAATAAGAAAAATATGAATTGTTCCACAGAAAATACTGGCTTATGGTATACAGGTACAAGTATATAGTCTGTGAAATTGTCAACTCCGGAAGATGACGTCATATTTTCACACGTCATACTGCCTACACCTTGAACCAGTGCCGCAACGCTCGGTAGTAATCCGCTAACTCCTTGACCAATGAAAAAGGCGGTTATATAATGTTTCTTGAAGAGTGCCATGAAAGGCAGAAATACAACGGAAGTTGAGCAACAGACTATTGCAAGAACGAAAACAAGTGTAAACAAACCGCTACTATGTAAACCACCTGCGACCAGTGATGTCGTCTTCCAGAAAAACATCAGAAGGAGGACGGCTACACACCCAACGGACACGAGCAGGTATATCACGAATTTATCGCTTACTTTTTCCTTGGCGAAATGGAAAAGAAGAGCTAATCCAATGGGACCAATATTTGCTACTTGTATGATGACATTCAGGTAGGAAGGAAGCGTCCATCCCTCAGGCAGATGGGGTACCATAATGGGTAATTCGACCCAGATCCCATTTAGTGTCACCCATGATCCAGCTCCAAATAGTACCACTAATATATAGACAACCACACCGTTCATGGTGAGACGTCGGCTTTTCTGAAGCGGATTCATCTGAAATTAGTTTTGTTTCAATTAGGAAGTTATCTATTACAATCTTGATGGCAGATAACATCACACCAGACATTTCAGATGACAAGTTCTACACCATGCCATTAGTCAATATTCTTCGGTATCAAAACATAATTATTTTAATGACTTCATAAACTGACAGATTGGGTGGATACTGAGACCACTGTTCCACAGGTCTCACTATCCAGTCACCATTAATCAACAGTCTCACAGTCACCATTAATCAACAGTCTCACTATCCAGTCACCATTAATCAACAGTCTCACTATCCAGTCACCATTAATCAACAGTCTCACTATCCAGTCACCATTAATCAACAGTCTCACAGTCACCATTAATCAACAGTCTCACAGTCACCATTAATCAACAGTCTCACTATCCAGTCACCATTAATCAACAGTCTCACAGTCACCATTAATCAACAGTCTCACAGTCACCATTAATCAACAGTCTCACAGTCACCATTAATCAACAGTCTCACTATCCAGTCACCATTAATCAACAGTCTCACAGTCACCATTAATCAACAGTCTCACTATCCAGTCACCATTAATCAACAGTCTCACAGTCACCATTAATCAACAGTCTCACAGTCACCATTAATCAACAGTCTCACTATCCAGTCACCATTAATCAACAGTCTCACAGTCACCATTAATCAACAGTCTCACAGTCACCATTAATCAACAGTCTCACAGTCACCATTAATCAACAGTCACATCCAGTCACCATTAATCAACAGTCTCACAGTCACCATTAATCAACAGTCTCACAGTCACCATTAATCAACAGTCTCACAGTCACCATTAATCAACAGTCTCACAGTCACCATTAATCAACAGTCTCACACCATTAATCAACAGTCACCATTAATCAACAGTCTCACAGTCACCATTAATCAACAGTCACCATTAATCAACAGTCTCACTATCCAGTCACCATTAATCAACAGTCTCACAGTCACCATTAATCAACAGTCTCACCATCCAGTCACCATTAATCAACAGTCTCACAGTCACCATTAATCAACAGTCTCACTATCCAGTCACCATTAGTCAACAGTCTCACAGTCACCATTAATCAACAGTCTCACTATCCAGTCACCATTAATCAACAGTCTCACTATCCAGTCACCATTAATCAACAGTCTCACAGTCACCATTAATCAACAGTCTCACAGTCACCATTAATCAACAGTCTCACAGTCACCATTAATCAACAGTCTCACAGTCACCATTAATCAACAGTCTCACTATCCAGTCACCATTAATCAACAGTCTCACAGTCACCATTAATCAACAGTCTCACAGTCACCATTAATCAACAGTCTCACCATCCATACATTTTAAGCAGTAAATGGTGAAGCAGACGGAGGACTGTAGCCGTATAGAGCAATAGGCAGATGAGTATTAGCTAGAAAGTCAGACAGGTATATTTGTGTTGACCTGATAGTGAGACAACTTAAAATGTGTTGACAGAGTGACACGGGTTAGTTACTTGTGCCCTGATAGTGAGACAGCTTAGATAATGGTGACCTGATAATGAGTCAGATAGGTTAGTGGGACCTGATAATGAGTCAGATAGGTTAGTGGGACCTGATAATGAGTCAGATAGGTTAGTGGGACCTGATAATGAGTCAGATAGGTTAGTGGGACCTTATAATGAGTCAGATAGGTTAGTGGGGACCTGATAATGAGTCAGATAGATTAGTGGGACCTTATAATGAGTCAGATAGGTTAGTGGGGACCTGATAATGAGTCAGATAGATTAGTGGGGACCTGATGATGAGTCAGCTTAAATAGTGGTGTTCTGAAAGTGAGACAGGTAGATTAGTGGGACCTAATAGTGCGACAGCTTAGATAATGGTGACCTAATAGTGAGACAGATAGATTACCGGTGACATTATCGTGAGATAGGTAGATTAGTGGTGATAATAGTGAGACAGGTAGATTAGCGGTGACCTAATAGTGAGACATGTAGATTAGAGGTGACCTAATAGTGAGACAGGTAGATTACCGGTGACTAATTGTGAGACAGGTAGATAAGTGGTGACCTAATAGTGAGACAGGTAGATTAGTGGTGACCTAATAGTGAGATGGTTAGATTAGTGGTGACCTAATAGTGAGATGGGTAGATAAGTGGTGACCTAATAGTGAGACAGATAGATTAGTGGTGACCTAATAGTGAGACAGGTAGATTACCGGTGACTGATAGTGAGACAGGTAGATAAGTGGTGACCTAATAGTGAGACAGGTAGATTAGTGGTGACCTAATAGTGAAACGGGTAGATTAGCCGTGACCTAATAGTGAGATGGGAAGATTAGTGGTGATTAATAGTGAGACAGGTAGATTAGTGGTGACCTAATAGTAAGGCAGGTAGATAAGTGGTGACCTCATAGTGAGACAGGTAGAATAGTGGTGATTAATAGTAAGGCAGGTAGATTAGCGGTGACATGATTATGAAATGGGTAGATTAGTGGTGATTAATAGTGAGACAGAGTGATTAGTGGTTGCCTAATAGTAAGGCAGGTAGATAAGTGGTGACCTCATAGTGAGACGGGTAGAATAGTGGTGATTAATAGTGAGACAGGTAGATTAGTGGTGATAATAGTGAGACAGGTAGATTAGTGGTGATAATAGTGAGACAGGTAGATTAGCGGTGATAATAGTAAGACATGTAGATTAGCGGTGATTAATAGTGAGACAGGTAGATTACCGGTGATAAGTAGTGACACAGGTAGATTAGCGGTGACATGATTGTGAGATGGGTAGATAAGTGGTGATAATAGTGAGACAGGTAGATTAGTGGTGATTAATAGTGAGACAGGTAGATTAGCGGTGACATGATTGTGAGATGGGTAGATAAGTGGTGATTAATAGTGAGACGGGTAGATTAGTGGTGACCTAATAGTGAGACAGGTAGATTAGTGGTGACCTAATAGTGAGACAGGTAGAATAGTGGTGACTTATGGTGAGACAGGTAGATTAGCGGTGACATGATTGTGAGATGGGTAGATTAGTGGTGACTTATAGTGAGATAGGTAGATTAGCGGTGACCTAATAGTGAGACATGTAGATTAGAGGTGACCTAATAGTGAGACATGTAGATTATAGGTGACTTATAGTGGGACAGGTAGATTAGTGGTGACCTAATAGTGAGACGGATTGATTAGTTGACTAATTAGTGCATTTTTAGACTTTATTTATAGTTAGAAACATTACATTAGACAATTTAATCAGAGAGGACACACAGATAAATTGAGTCGGTAAAATATATAATTCAAATAGCATCTGAGAACCTTATACATATAATGGTTAGTTAAATTAGTGAATCTCGGAAAATGAACGAACATTATAAAACAATAGATCGGGTACAATGTCACTCACCTGAAATCTTCTAGTTATGTGGAAGTGCTGTCGCTGATCTCTGGTTTATAAATGTTAACACAGTAGATGACCTTATATTACTTTTGATACACGTGTGTATGAATATGTATGGTAAATAAACTGATACTGTTTATTGCGCAGTTGGTATGTGGATTCGGACACTCATACCGAGGATAACATAACTGTATGTTGATGATATGAATATTTATTTTCATGTTTGAATCAGGACAGGAAATCTAATAGGTCACTGGTTTACAACAACGCAGTACATAAATACATCACAAACAGAATGCATAACACCTCATTAGTACTCAAATATTACTGATAGCCTGAAAAAGGGCCCAGTGACTCGAACCTGGGATGTATGTGTAAGTCATCTGGAGTATCTCTGGTGGGGTAAATTAAGACTAAGTTACCTGGCACTCAGTATCTTGGGTACGCTGAATTATGATAATTAACCGAACCTTGTGATATCACTAAATTAGGACCATGCTGATTCTGTTTCCGCTATCTTAGTGCTACAGAACCCAGACCACTAATATCTCGTCACATTCGAATTAAAAAAAAGAAGTCTTTTCAAAATCAGTTTTCACGGAATCATGTATTTGCGAACATGTATGAGTAGATAGCTCGAGAAACAAATTATTCGTAAAATCTAACTAATTCACAGTAAGTTGCAGTCGTTACTAAAAAAGTTGAATGAGATCCTGTAAATGAAATGTTTTATAACTGGTAAGCTGAATTAGGACTCTGTAACTTTGATGTCTATGACAGGCCTAGTAGGAACGTAGTAATGGCGAATTATCATTGGTGGACAGAATTAAGACACAGTTACTTGACTCTAAGCTCAATGTTAGACTGAAACACTAACTGGACCTCGATATATCAGTGGTAGACTAATAAGGTCCCAGTAAGTGGATTCTGACATATCGCTATCAGAATGAACTACAATACAACAACTGGACCCTAAGATATGGCTGGGAGGCTTAATTAGGAACCAGTGACTGGGCCTGAGATATGGCTTGGAGGCTGAATTAGGAACCAGTAACTGGGCC